TTTTATCAAAAAATGGAGAAATATAAATTATGTACCCAGTCGTTACTAATTAACCTTAGTTTTAGCATTTCTAGTGATTTTAATTCACCAGTCTCCTGATAGTTTTGCATCCCAGCTAGCATATCGACAGTAACGGTAATGTTTTTAGAGTCCGCAATTTTGACTGTCAGTAACCAAGCTCGTTATAAAGTTTCACACTTTTGAGAGCAGTTAGAATAATCAATAAATGTCACGATGACCATTACAACTACACACTTTTAGTTACCTAGACCACCTACTACTAAAAACTGCACGCTCTAAAACTCCGTATGGTGTATTCTATAACTGACATGTGTATTCAACTGAGGAAGTAGCTCTCAAGTTAGACAATGTTTTATAACTGTTCTTTGAATCACAACATGCATAAATCTAGTGTGAACGAGTTCCGCCAGTCAATGGAGACATTTGAAGGTGAAAAATCTGAGCTAAACTAAAGCGACTTTGTATTTAAAGTACATCGCATTAACTGGCCAAATGGGTGGCTAGTAATTCGCACCATTCATTAGCAGATGCTTAAGCACAAATATCGAGTTACGTTAAACCCTCTTTCGAAACTCAGATGTTTTCGCATGTTAGCAGAGGTGATGATATGTAAATCAATATCTTGAGATTTCAGGGAAGTATATAGTGTGAAAAAACTTTGGACCAACACTAATCGTGCAGGTATGACAGTTTAAATTAGCATCTAGTAAGTTGTAAATACACAGCATAAATGACTAGAATACTAAGAACAACAGACTGTAGGAGAATTGCAGGTAAAATGCCAGTCAGTACAGCTTTTGCCACACCACCTGAGTCATAAAAAACCTTGTCGTCCAACTCACAAGACTCGAAGGTCATTTGTACATACACAGGCAATCAAATGACTGGTTGACTTCTTTGTATTATGAAAATGGTGGAATAATGTTTACAGACCTTAATCATTCCTTAAAATTGGTTGGATGCATCGGCAATGCTGTAAACGATACGACTAGTTTCCGATATCGATATGCTTTATTTCCATCTCAGTTATCCACTTTTTAAACAGAAGTTCATTGACTGATTCAGCTTCAAACAAGACTTTATAAAGAAAGATTTCTTTTTAGAGTTGACACCTTTTGGTGGACATGGCTCAGTTACTTACGTCTAAAATATGAAGATAATTGAGATTCAGCCGTTGTGTTGAGTGGCAAGTAACAAACGTTTTTCGTAAAACACAAAATCCATTTTCCTACGAATTGAGGGCTTTCACAGAAAAACATTCCAGGCGCAAGAGCAGACGGTTACTTACTTACTAACGCATGATGCGGTTTGAGGAGAGAAGGCCACTGACCAGTAATATCCAACCACTTTATTCAAGTTGTTATGAAATGCTATTTATTCCTTATATATCTGTCTTCAATTCTCAGTGCAATATGTTCGTTGGTCCACCTATCTTCCCTTGGCTTTGAGGATTCCAAGTTAGGGCTTGCCTCCTGGCGCAGTCGAGTGATTTTCGAAACGTGCCCTGTCCACCTCCAGCGATTTTTCCTGATTTCCTCCTCCACAGGAATCTGGTTTGTTCTATCCCACAGTAGGCTTTTCCTGAGGGGGCCTGGCCAACGAATCTGGAGCGTCTTGCGTAGAAAACCGTTAATAAAAGCTTGCACCTGTTAGATGGTAGCTTTCGTCGTTCTCCAAGTTTGCCCTCCATATAGTAGAACTGTCTTGACATTTGTATTGAAAGTTCTGACCGGTGTTGGTTGATAGTTGTTTTGGATGGCAGATGTTGTTCAATTGAAGAAAGGCAGCCCTTATTTTCCCGATCCGCGCCTTCACATGTGCATCAGATCCAGCCTGCTCGTCAATGAGGTTGCCCAGATATGTAAAAGGCATCTCTATCAAGAGTGATTTGGTTAGAGCATGTTGTGCTGCATCTGAGAGCCGTGCTTCTTCCCTTACGTATGTTGAGACCTAGTGCTGCTGCTACACTGGATGATTTCTGCATTGGATGTTGTGTATGTGACAGAAGAGCGTGATCGTCCAGCTGCATCCCAGTTTTCCAATGAATTACGCGCTTCCACTGAGATGCAAACATCTTCATAACCCAGTCAAGCACCGCCCTTGCACGGTTTTGTGGTGTTGTCCATAGTAAGAAATCTGTATGATGTTGACTGTCTACTCAGGCACACCATAAAGACAAATAAGTCACTATAGTGTCATACTGTCTACACTATCAAATGTTTCTTATATGCTAGGAAATTAGTGTACAGTTATGAATCCTATTCAATTTAATGTTACACGGTTCCTTCGGAAGTCACGAAATCGATAACCATTCTGACAACCAGCCTTCTTAAACGGTGTTAGCGGCCAGGAAGTAACATCCGCCTACATACCCGTAACAGCGAGACCGAATTGGTCACAATTATATCCTTCCCCTAACCCCTAGCATTAGTCATCTCCACTTACAATTTTTTTTCATCTCGCAACGCTGAAGCAAAAGATTCGAGCTCACGAAACGTTATTCCTGGTCTCCTGAAACACCATTTAGAACTACATGCTTGACTTTTTATTATTCGAAATTTTTGTCAAATAGGAGAACATGCTTCATTAACTGGGAATCTGGAATCACGTGACATCGATGTGTGTTGCGTCTGCGAAACGTGCAAACAAGACCCAAGCAAAATCATCAATTTGATTTCAACTTCTGCAGATAGAGAATCCGTACGGTTTACATTTCGAGGGGGAAAACAGCGTTCGGAACATGCTTGCATTGTTGCTTAGGATAGTCAGAATACTGCATTTCGTCAGCGTCTTCACCAATTAGAACTATGTCATCATCATACTCTGATTCGACAAGCGAGTCTCCTGGTAGAAGGTGTACTCCTGAAAAGTCAGACAAAGATTATGTTATATCTAGAAGCAAGCCAATCACAAAATCAAATAAGAATCGAGAAAGTGGTCTGAAACCAGACTGGTATTCCCGAGTCTGCTCTTCACGAACTCTGGTTAGGCGTCTAAGGACAATCGAGGTTAACTATTTAGACACTATATTAGTTAGACTTATTCTCCTGTGATTGTCACAAGAAGACTTTTGTCCTTTCTTATAAATTGGGACAATCAGTGATTGAGACCAGTCGGATGGGATTGTGTCCAGTTCCCCGATTATACCTAAGATTTCAGTCAACCTAGCTGCTAAAACCTGACCGCCATCCTTCAACGTCTCAGAGGTCAGTTCATCAGGACCTACAGCTCGCCCTCGCTTCAGATTTTCCAACACTTTCTCAACTTCATACAGACTAGGGGGACTTACGTCGATTTGTCACTCAGGATGACTGGAGATCGTGGGTAACCGAAGAGTGGCTCGAGGCCAGTTGAACTGATTCCTAAAGTGTTCTGCCCATCGTTCCAGTCTCCTTGATTGAGGATGGATAAGAAGACCATCCTTTTCCGAGATAGTCTCACTCACATATGGGCTCCTAGTACCAGTGGATTCGCCGATGACTTGGAGACTGACGAAATCCTTGCAATTGTGGTGGTGGTGTTTGGTTCTCTGAGCTGGGTGAGCTACAAGTCTTCTCCAACATTTCGAAATCCTATCAAAGATAGGGAAAACTTAATCGGCATTTTCCAACTAGCGTCACTCACGGCGTAGGCAACATATCTGTTTTTTGACTAAAGGACGAGTGTACTTCGCTCCGCTACACTTCATGACCAATCAGAGTAGAAGGTATCCGTAGGTTACTTGTTTTAGATCATAGTTGTCTGCGGAGCATTGATCGCATATCCTGAGACAACTGAGTAAGCAATGCTGTTATTAGGAAACGGGTACTAGGTGAGAATGGCAGATCAATAGATGAAGTGATGAAACTTCATCAGTTGAGGTAGTTGGGACATGTGCTGCGTATGCCTAACCACCAACTGCCTCGTCGTGTAGGAATAGGTTGTAAGAAACCTAAGGGCGGCCAAACCAAAACATGGCACAAATCACTCACTACTGGACTGAGTCGTGATGGTAATTGTAGACTACCTGGTAGGGGTCCTCGAGACCACAGTAACTGATGGTTAGAGACCTTGAACGACATGGCTCAAAATCGTTTGCAATGGCGCAGGTGCATTTATTATGTGTTCTCTCAAATCTTCAACTTTTTAATTCTTCATCACTTTTATCTTTATTTCACTAGATTCTACTTCGTGAATAATATCTTCTAATCCTAAACTGTACGGGTACTGCTAATACCTTTATTACCTCTACTACTATTGGATTTGAATTGACAATTACATCTTTGTGCTAATGAGTTATGGCAACATGAACTGATGTACGTACGTACGAAGTTCTACGTTGCTATTGATCAATTGAACAATGTGCCCGAAAATCGTTTGCAGTGGCGCAGATGCATTTACTCCTTGCGTTCCTTAAAATTCTAATCTTCTGAATTCCTTATAACATCTATCTTTCTCTTTCTTAAGTTATCTCACTGAATTATACTTCTTGAATAATTTCCTCAAACCCTAATCTCTCAGATTACCGCTCGTACTTTTACTACCTCTACTACTATGGGATTTGAAATGACAATTGCTTCTCTGTGCAATGTGGTATGGCGACTTGAACTGATGTATGTACGTACGAGGTTGTACGTTGTAACTGACTAACTAGGTAAGCACGGCAAAGCGAATAATACAGTACTGATTCATCTCAATTAAGGATATGCATTTAACAGCTGCAAGTAATATCTAAAATGGTAAAACGTTTTCACGAAGGAAACCGAGCACACACTTTGCTATCAATCATACGAAAACTAAGAGAAGTTAAAGAACAAACCGTTGTGTTGAAACAATTTTTCTACGCATTGAAACCGGTTCTGTTGGCTGTTTTGGGTATGAGGGCGAATGTCACTTGCCGGTTGTTCTCACCGTGGAGAGAGCACTATAAATGAATAGCATCTAACCTCTTTATTTCGCGTAACAAATAGTGAAACTGAAGTATTCAAAAAGGAAAGATGTAAACACTGTTCAAACATATATTTAGTATTAGAAAAAGGTTTTTGAAATCTAAACAAAGTTACAGACTTATGATTCACTGAGAAATTCAACAGAGTTATTATTTATCACATGTGAATTTTAACACAGAATATCAAGTAACATTTTTCCATGAACAGCGCATGGGAAGATAAGTTGTAAGTTGGTGACTACCTAAGTAGCTTAAAAAACTATACACATGTGAATAATTTCGTCCATTTAATATATGTACAGATTCCAAGAAATTACTTAAAGTAGCTTGATGAAGCGTAGTGTTAAATGACTTCTAAATAATTAAAAGAAGAAATTAAGGGATAATATTTAATTATTCAGTCACTAAAAAACAAAGACTTTTGGCTATTGCATTGATGTTTGTTGAGTGAACCAAAGACTAATCTGCTGGGAATTTAAATAATGATTACGCACTATGATGTAAGAGAGCCAAAATAACTTCAAGAAGCATAACACATAATTATATATTATGTAGCCAATATTTCTGATAGACGATCGCAATTAGGCATTTGCAGCTGCATAGCTCTCCCGTAACTAGCATCGTCACCATAATATCTAGCACGGAATAAGAGATTTTCCTCTGCAAAAGATAAAACAACAATAAGCACCACATGATTTAGAACGACTGAGGTAAGTTTGAGCACAGAAGTTTAAAATTACCTGAAACACTTAGATATTATCATGGAAATGGGTAACTGTAATATGTAACGAGCAACAGATAATGGCTTACAAAAAGGTCAGCGCTTGGAGCCAAGGATATTTCCTGGTTTCAGTTTTTGATTATTGTTGTTTCAGTGATTGCACTAATAAAGATATTGTGAAGATTTGTATTTAGTCAACGTTGAGATTTCGACACAGGCATTAACATGTCCAAGATTTGCGAAAGAGAGCATATTAAGAATCCCCAATATCATACGAGAGATCAGTGGGATATGATAAGTCTGTAAACGCGAATCTGTGAGAATAAATTATAAGGGAAATAAATTATACGATGCACAGAATACCTGTGTCTATGAGAGTACTTCCGCTATCCAATGAGCTTGTGAATACACTTGAGTTACAAGGAATTTCGCTCAGTAAGGGGACTTCTTAAGCGTTGTATTATGAAGGATATTCGTGGGTTATTGTTATTTGATCATTGATATTTAGAAAGTATTGCTTGTATCTGGTCCAATAACCGAATGAGCACTGCCAAGGCTATATATGCGATATTAAGAAAGGATAGCGTGCCGAATGATTTGGCAGGGAATCCATTGGGTGAGGTGACGAAACGTTATGTGCATCTAAGTACTGTCTGTAGTGACGTTCAGTACTAGTTGGTATGAAGAGACTGAAAAAAAACTCAAGGCCAAACCAAGGCTCAGAGTCAGTCAAAAGCTGTAAGACTGGTCCACGTTGGTAGGTTTAAATTAAATGGTTGAGTTCTGAGCTATAAACGTGATCAGCGGTTGCAGAAGTTCGACCATACTTTGGATATATTTACTTTTTCTCTTCCTCTCATATTCAGGTCAAAATAAAATTCCAAACATTTTGTCCCATTTTTGAGTCATAGTGAGTGGACGTTTAGGGGGGCTGAGTACTACGAACTAAGAGTAGGTTTCTCACAAATTAAGACAACCGACCTACAAAAAGCGTTTCCTACGGGTAATAACTAACCACACTTTGTCTAAGTCATACACCATGAACTGAACATATGATTCACTATTCTCGAGCTTTAGTAGAGCAACAGACGGTTTAAAATTCGTGAGACTGTTAAATTAGTTGATCATTAGACGAATAAAACAAAGGAATGCTGACATTCTGTCCAAAAGCATTTGCTCCGTATTTCTTGATTCTAAATGTATCTATTGAGTAAAATTCTAGTTCTGAATAATACAGACCTAATGTGATAGTGTCAATGGCATCTTAGATTGGTTGTTAGCAAAGGGTATTTTATCGAATGCGTGAAATCTGTAGTACTCAATGCGTTAGGGAAGATTCTGATTTTCTCAGAAAAGCAATGCATGAAAATGGTTACCTAAGTAGTTTTGTACACAAGAATATGAAAGGAAACTGAAACAACGATTTCAGAGGATATCCTTATATGAACCTATAAATATGTGATGACTAAGCTTTCGACGTAGTTAAGTGATTATCTTCAGCAATTAAAAGAGCGTTCTATGTTACAGAACTGCGGTTACCGTAACCGTAAAAAGCTTTTCAGTCCAGCTGTTTTTACATGCACCTACTAAATCGCCAGCTCACGTAAAACAAGATATATATGTCGTATTCAGTACATTTTTTAGTATGGATTCGATCATATTCTAATGTGGTTCTACAAGGGAGAATAAAGTGATTAAGAGTTCTCTCCTTGAACACTTAGTCGAGAGTCTAATTACGCAGCTAACTGACATGTTGATTTTGAGGTGGTTCGAATAATTTGTCTTTACTAAGATTTCTTAGTATGAAACTTCTTAAAACAGCAGCTCTTGTCATTGATGAAAGGAAGTTCCAACTTTGTGTAAGCGTATATTATTCTAAGCTTTGATATATTATCATTAAAAGTGTCTTGATTACTAAACCATTGACTTTGTATTTGAAAATGCTCCCTCACTTTAATAATTCCTTGCACCTTCATGAATTTACCATAATTGATTCTGATATAATTTCATTTAGTTACTTTGATGCCTTTATTATTGACAAAAACATTTTAATCATTTCAATCCATTCACATCATAATCCACTGTTAGCTGATTAATTTCACAGGCTTATTTATATTCACACAGTAGAATCTACACAACACATTACGGTCATTATTTACACGATATAAAATAGTATTGAGATCTAATGATCATATCATGTTTATTCATTGTTCATACTCAGTCACGGAATTACTCCTTAAAACTCCTTATATATATTCATGAATGTACAGCTTGATGTGTTCGTTGCAGAAATCCATTCTCTAAATTTCGTGTTCCTAGTGAGAAGACGCAGCAGAAAACCATTTTTAACAATAATTTGTAAAACTGCACAAACTACTTACCTACGAGATACATAAATAGGCATTACAAAATCAGAAACTTACTATAATCTTTTTCTCGGAAACACCGAAATCGAAGGTTGCTGATATATTCTTCTTCTACTTGATTTTCTAGATGAACAATATTGCCCGAAAAATCTTGTTCGAAAGTTTTCTTGACGAAATAAGGTACTTTATGTATTCCAGTATGACGTTCCATGTAATATTTGCTAAAATAATAACGATGAATATCAGTACACTTATAAACTCCATTACAGTCCTCTATTTACAACCTAAAGTGCTCTGGTAGTGTGCACATTTTTAAGAACAAAAGTTGGCGATTTCGCAATATATAAGCATATCTTCTCAAATATTTTAGAATCTAACAAGATTATTAGGCTACAATAACTTGATAGTAAAAATTAAATTCAGTCAAAAAAAATGGATACACACTAAACCACAATGGTAATCAGATTCAATGCTTAACAGCTAACATCAGTCAGTCAGTCAGATGCAACGTAGAACTTGGTACGTAAGTACATCAGTTCATGTTGCCATAACTCATTAGCACAGAGATGCAATTGTCAATTCAAATCCAATAGTAGTAGAGGTAGTAAAGGTATTAGAAGTAATCGGAGAGGTTAGGATTAGAAGATATTATTCAAGAAGTATGATTCAGTGAGATAACTTTAGAAAGTCAAAACTAGAGGTGTTGAAGAATTCAGAAGATTAGGATTTGAGAGAACACATAATAAATGCACCTGCGCCATTGCAAATGGTTTTGAGCCATGTCATTCAGGGCCTCTAACCATCGACTACTATAATCTCGCGGACCCCAACCAGGAAGTCGACAACTACCGACATGACTCAAGCCACTTGTCAATGACTTCATGGATTGGTGCCATGTTTTGGTCTGGTTGCTCCTAACTTTCTTCTAACCTACTCCTACACTACAAAACAAAGCTCGTCGACGCAGTCGGTGGTTAGGCATACGCAACACATGTCCCAACCACCTCAACTGATGAAGTTTCATCACTTCATCTATTGATCTGGCATTCTTACCTAGCACCCGTTTCCTAATGACAGCGTTGCTTACTCGGTTGTCCCAGAATATACGAGCAATGCTTCGAAGACACCTATGGTCGAAAACCAGTAACCTACGAATATCTACTCTCGCTGGTCATGTTTTACAGCCATAAAGTAAGACGGAGCGAACTACTACACAGTACACTCGTCCTTTAGTCAGCGAACGGATACCTCGCCTTCGCCATAAGTGATGCAGGTCGGCAAAAGCCAATCGAGCTTTCTGTATCCGAGTTAAGATTTCGTCAGTCACCAGCCATCAGCACTGATGAGACTCCCCAGATATATGAAGCGGTCTACACGCTCGACCACTTCACTCCCTATCACCAGTTCAGGTACTTACGTACGAAGTTCTACGTTGCATCTGACTGACTGATTGAGTTCAGGTGCCGACGCAAGCCAATCTTGAAGCAACATTTCGCATCAGAGATATTACCAAAGAAAAAGTGGCGGCAGCAATATTATTATTGCATATTATGTGTAGACGACACCAACAGAGCTGAACTGAATGTCTCTGGTAAAGTTACTGAAGAGGAAATTTGTAACGAATCAGAAACTCAAGTCTCAAAACAGCAAATTATAGCAAAAAAGATTCTTTTCTCTGGAGAAGAGCACCTAGGAACCATAATGAAATTATTACGCAGCACTAAACAAGACACGTTGCTTAGCAGAATAGTACAAGCTGCAATAACAGGATTGAAGTTATGATTTCCAGTTTTCAAATTCAATAAGTACATACCAACAGCATCCTTTTTGATTTCAAGATTTAGGAAACTTGAGGTAACTACTTAGTTTAATTGATTTACTCTCAACATTATTTGTTAACTGGGAAAACAGCGTATATGCCACAAGATAATTAAATTGATTAAAATCAAGTTTGAACATTGTAAATATTTTCCTACTAAGCCATACGTTATGTTCGAAAATTTAGTTATCCATTTATTTTAAACACATCGTACAAAGTGGAACCTAAATATTTATGGCTCACACAAATCATCAAATTTGTGAGTGAGCTGGGATACTCTCCGGATGCTCAAACAGAAGCGATAGTTTCTTTAGGGGGCCATCCCCCTAGTCTTTGACCCAAAAGTCTCATCCACAAGACAGAGGGACGAAGTTAAGCGATGCAGTCCTATGGTAGTCGGCGGAAAACAGTAAATTCATATACCATTCGTTACATCAGGATCCTGCAGCTCATATTCATTATTGGTTTGAAATCAGGGTTTATCAACCTTTCAAGGTGGGTTCTCTGTACACAATAACTTGACTGCAACTTCCGTCAGACACTTAATTTTCGTCGCCTCAGCTTTGTAAACACCCCCGTCATGAGAAGGCAGTGAGTAAGACTTTCTTCGCAGTGGCCCTATGAGACCATTTTGAAATAGAGAGCGAACTCTCTCCACTCTCGGCAGTACCACGGTAGTTGAGGACTAAATCTTAATATGAAATGGTTGGGTTTTTGACGAACGCTGAAAGCATGTGCAATGTAAGTTGATGTTAGTGAACGACTATTAGCGACAGTGAAATATTTTCGAAGAGCAGAAAAATTGTCATCGTGACCTTTGATAGCATTGTTAAGCTAGTTATTTTATGCCTGATTGCTTATCCACTACGAATTGTGCTGAAATAGGCAAGCATTACAAGAACGGAAAGAATGCACAGTTGTTGTGCGGATTAGTAACTGTAACGGATAAACACAACAAAAGGACAATCGGTAAGTTAGTACCTATGGTATGCGCTAAGGGAATGAATTTGAAATCCAATTATTTGTCCCTTTTCACAATACAGAGAACTACCCAAGTTGTCATCTTTGGTGGATACAAAGCTGTGGCTTAGTGTTTAAAGCGCTTTTAGTCCGTGGGTCCCAGGTTTCAGCTTCTTCACTTGCCTTAGTTTAAACAGTCCCAGGTAGCGCCATCAGTTTTTACACCTAAAGTCAAGCAAGCGAAACCATACCTAGTAAATGAATTCAAGAATATGCAATCAAAACTTACTGTACTAGTTATCAAACATTTTATATTAAGGCAGAGCTTTCATTAGCATGTTTATTGAGTCAATAACTGCGTCGAATACAATAATATTTATCCACAAATTAGAGTAGAATGTGCAATAAATTAAACTTCAGTGATCATACTTACTCTGATTTGGTTAAGCTGAAGTACGGATCCTTCACAAAAAGATAACTGAAGAAAGATAGGCCAAACAAGATTATCAATGGAATCAACTGGATGTATACGAAGTAGTTACTCTGAAAAAAGGGCCAATAAGAATGCTGGTGTACTAATCATAAAACTTCCTGAACATAAAATTTAAAAAAAAACATTGCACCGACAGTTTACATGTTTATATAAGAAAACTGTAAGCCCAACGATTAAACAAAATACATTTGGAGCCTCACATGAGACCGAATAGTACCATAGTGTTAAGTAAAGAAAAATTTAAAAGGATATGAATGACAATATGAACCTGTAGAGCAACTGAGTGTTGGTCAGTAAGGATCAAAAGACAACCCTACCTGGTCTAGTTATTGTTATGGGACAATATACGACCGTAAACCCGTCTTCGAGAATCCTAAGAATTGCAATTAATAAAATATTAACACATCCTGTCTGACTAAACGACAGAGTAGGGACTCCCAAAGATAGGGACACTCACCATTGCCCCTTCGTCGCATCTGCTTACACTCCCACTAACTGCAGTTCAGACAAGATGAAAGATGAGTTTTACAGAAACTTCTCTAACCTTCTTCAAAAAGTTAAGCGCTTTAATTTTGTATTACTGGCTGGTGACTTTAATGCTAAAAAAGGTAGACTAAGTGAAAATGAAAGACACCTGGGTGGATCTTATGGTGTCGCGGCTCAAAGAACTGATAATGGCCACCCTCTGTTGCAACTATGCTCAGATAACCGCCTATTACTAGCAAACACTAACTTTAAGCCTAAGGAAAAACATCTTTTGACCTGGCGACCCCGAAAGTCGTATCAACGTTGGACCCAACTAGGCCACATCGCCATCAGCCACCGATGGAGGCGTTTGGTAGAGGACTGTCGCTCGTTCTGGGGCATATGTCTAGATTCAGATCATGCCCTAGTACGAGCAGGTATTTGTTTCCGACTTACCGGACGTAGGAAAGACACCGCAAGGAAACCTGTTAGGGTTCTACTTAATGATAATAAAGCTAAGAATATATTTCTGGAACAACTAGAAAAACAGTTAGGCAACCATGTAAGCGACTCCCATCCGGAGGCAGGTTGGAATGATATCAAAAAGGCTGTGGAAACAGCAGTGATCTGCTAGCAAGGTAAACCATAAGGCTAGGAAGAAGGCGTGGATCTCAGCAGCATCTACCGGACTGATGGATGCTCGAAAGCTCATCCTGCCTGGCTCTGAGTGCGATGAGGAGAGGAGTCCGGTCAGGTGCAGGCTGATAAAAAGTGTCTGTCATTGAAACCTGTACCAGAGAAGTACGTTAACTTTATACAAGCTCTCTACTCGAACACTACTGGTCGAGTTACCGCTTATGGCGAACTGTCATCGGAATTGATTACTCCAAGTGGTGTCCATCAGTGCTGTCCACTTTCTCCATTCTTGTTTGATTTTGTCATTGACTTGCTTCTATATATAACAAAGGACAGTCTTCTTGTGACAATCACAGGAGAATAAGTCTAACTAATATAGTGTCTAAATAGTTAACCTCGATTGTCCTTAGACGCCTAACCAGAGTTCGTGAAGAGCAGACTCGGGAATACCAGTCTGGTTTCAGACCACTTTCTCGATTCTTATTTGATTTTGTGATTGGCTTGCTTCTAGATATAACATAATCTTTGTCTGACTTTTCAGGAGTACACCTTCTACCAGGAGACTCGCTTGTCGAATCAGAGTATGATGATGACATAGTTCTAATTGGTGAAGACGCTGACGAAATGCAGTATTCTGACTATCCTTAGCAACAATGCAAGCATGTTCCGAACGCTAGTTTCCACCTCGAAATGAAAAATGTTGCTTCAAGATTGGGTTTTATCGGCACCCGAACTAGTGATACGCAGTGAAGCACTTACGTGTATCGACGGCTTTATTCATCTCGGAAGTCTTGTCAGTGCTGATGACCTGTTGAGTGACAAAACCCAGCGAGGATACAGAAGGTTCGTTGGACTTTTGCCAACTTGGTCACTCATGGTTTAGGCGAGATATCCGTTCGCCGACTAAAGGATAAGTGTACTGCACAGTAGTTCGCTCCGCTATACTTCATGACCAATCAGAGTAGAAGGTATCCGTAGGTTACTGGTTTTAGATCATAATTGTCTGCGGAGCATTGATCGCATATCCTGAGACAACTGAGTAAGCAATGCTGTTATTAGGAAACGGGTACTAGGTGAGAATGGCAGATCAATAGATGAAGTGATGAAACTTCATCAGTTGAGGTAGTTGGGACATGTGCTGCGTATGCCTAACCACCAACTGCCTCGTCGTGTAGGAATAGGTTGTAAGAAACCTAAGGGCGGCCAAACCAAAACATGGCACAAATCACTCACTACTGGACTGAGTCGTGATGGTAATTGTAGACTACCTGGTAGGGGTCCTCAAGACCACAGTAACTGATGGTTAGAGACCTTGAACGACATGGCTCAAAATCGTTTGCAATGGCGCAGGTGCATTTATTGTGTTCTCTCAAACCTTCAACTTTTTAATTCTTCATCACTTTATCTTTTTACCTCTATTTCACTAGATTCTACTTCTTGAATAATATCCTCAAACCCCAATCTCTGATTACAGTTAATACTCCTACTTCCTCTACTACTATATGGGGTTTGAATAGACAATGGCGTCTCTGTGCCAATGCTGTACGGCCATCTGTACTCATATACGCACGAACGATGCGCCGGACTGACTTGATAAAAATGTTGAAATAAGTATATGGTGGTAAGGATTAGTAACCGGTTTGATACCACTCACCTCACGCTCTGACTCCCGTGACCTGTGAGGTCGGTGGCGATGATCACGATAGACTTGCGAAAACGGAAATCCTCCGTTGAAAAACATGGTGAAGACGTCAGCTTAAATGTACAGTTTAACAAAAACAGAACTTTACCATCATATTGGAAGAACGTATCTCCATGCCGATGAACTTGAGGGGATCTCACTTGCTCTTCTTCAACACCAAACTGATCATAACGCCGGCGTTTCTCAGGGTCTGTCAATACTTCGCATGCCTTTTTGATTTTTTTAAACGCTTCTGCTGACCCTGGAGCCCTGTTTTTGTCGGGATGGTACTTAAGGGCATGACTTAAAAAGGTTAGATTCGTATATTGGCTTACAGTTTAAAGGCCTTTTTAATTTCTTCATCTGAAGCAGTTCGTGACACTCCAAGGATTTCGTAGTAATCTTTGCAAGCAAGTACTTTCCTCAATGAGTCTACTTGAGTCTTAGAAAATTTCTTTTCTGGATGTTCATTTTCGGTATTTTCAGGTTTAGAATCAGATCTTTCATTTTCTTGAGAACTTTCTCTAGTCCTAGACGAACGAGATCTAGATCTTACTAAAAAATCCAGTCCTCCAAATCTATAGACAAATGAGGTGACACTAACCTTCTATACTGATTGACGGATCCAATCTCATGGCTTTCAGTAGAAACCGTCTTGCAGCGTCACGATCTCCCGTGGCTAAACGTTTCCTAGCAATATGGATACACCTCTGAGCTTCATCCTTGTTGGCATTCATGTTAGGCTCAGTACAACTACAGCACCAGAACCCTATAAACCGCTTCAAACCAGTGTTTTAAACAAGGTAGGTACTTGATGTTTTTCCAGTAAATTTAGGAAAATTAAAAAAAAATGGGCGAGAGACAATTATATATCACAACAGACTGTCAACTATATAAATAAGAAGTTAATAAAACACAACGATAATAATAGGAAAATTATCATGATGGAATTGATCACACTAAACTAAACGATAAATCACTATTAGCTGTGCAGATTTATAGAGCCCGTGATATGTCACTGAGTTCTGACCAGATCGCCAACCAAAATGAGTAATTTTTACACCAATTGACAGACCATTGGCTATTGGACACCCTTTCAAAGTTCATCAAAATCGAATTACTCGGAAGATTACGTTGTATGTCGTGGGCTGACCTAAGTTGCAGTGGTAACACAATTCTTGGATAATGTCGTATTTTTTTTTGCACTTGGATGACACTTTGGGTATTAAACTCCAGGTGTGACTTCAAATTCAGCCGATGCGTTACAAAAATTCTTGTGCTTCTATCGAACAACACCAAATGAGCAAAAGTACCCAGAAGAAATCCTGATGGGAAGAGGACTGAAAACGGTCCACAGCCTGATGCAACTGACTAATGCACCAACATCAGTAGAGACAAATCAGCAAAGGCAATCCGTTTACGTAGTGGGATGCCATGTGTTCGCCCGTGACTACAGAGCAAATCAAGGTCCCTGGGTAGAAGCGCGAGTGATCAGAAGAGTTTGGCGAGTCATGTACAAAGAAGAGGTGGGAAGTGATAAATGCTCACGTCATCGAATTCAGATGCGCAAACGGCGAGCCCCAGATCATCCATCAAGAGCAGGAAATCTCCCCCAAGACATCCTGCTTGATACCTTCAACCAACCAGGCCCGAGAAGATGGAAACCATATACGTTCCAACAAAACTTGGGTGCAGCTGGACGATCACGCTCTTCTGTCACATACACAACATCCAATGCAGAAATCATCCAGTGTAGCAGCAGCACTAGGTCTCAACATACGTAAGGGAAGAAGCACGGCTCTCAGATGCAGCACAACATGCTCTAACCAAATCACTCTTGATAGAGATGCCTTTTACATATCTGGGCAACCTCATTGACGAGCAGGCTGGATCTGATGCACATGTGAAGGCGCGGATCGGGAAAATAAGGGCTGCCTTTCTTCAATTGAACAACATCTGCCATCCAAAACAACTATCAACCAACACCGGTCAGAACTTTCAATACAAATGTCAAGACAGTTCTACTATATGGAGGGCAAACTTGGAGAACGACGAAAGCTACCATCTAACAGGTGCAAGCTTTTATTAACAGTTTTCTACGCAAGACGCTCCAGATTCGTTGGCCAGGCCCCCTCAGGAAAAGCCTACTGTGGGATAGAACAAACCAGATTCCTGTGGAGGAGGAAATCAGGAAAAATCGCTGGAGGTGGACAGGGCACGTTTCGAAAATCACTCGACTGCGCCAGGAGGCAAGCCCTAACTTGGAATCCTCAAAGCCAAGGGAAGATAGGTGGACCAACGAACATATTGCACTGAGAATTGAAGACAGATATATAAGGAATAAATAGCATTTCATAACAACTTGAATAAAGTGGTTGGATATTACTGGTCAGTGGCCTTCTCTCCTCAAACCGCATCATGCGTTAGTAAGTAAGTAACCGTCTGCTCTTGCGCCTGGAATGTTTTTCTGTGAAAGCCCTCAATTCGTAGGAAAATGGATTTTGTGTTTTACGAAAAACGTTTGTTACTTGCCACTCAACACAACGGCTGAATCTCAATTATCTTCATATTTTAGACGTAAGTAACTGAGCCATGTGCACCAAAAGGTGTCAACTCTAAAAAGAAATCTTTCTTTATAAAGTCTTGTTTGAAGCTGAATCAGTCAATGAACTTCTGTTTAAAAAGTGGATAACTGAGATGGAAATAAAGCATATCGATATCGGAAACTAGTCGTATCGTTTACAGCATTGCCGATGCATCCAACCAATTTTAAGGAATGATTAAGGTCTGTAAACATTATTCCACCATTTTCATAATACAAAGAAGTCAACCAGTCATTTGATTGCCTGTGTATGTACAAATGACCTTCGAGTCTTGTGAGTTGGACGACAAGGTTTTTTATGACTCAGGTGGTGTGGCAAAAGCTGTACTGACTGGCATTTTACCTGCAATTCTCCTACAGTCTGTTGTTCTTAGTATTCTAGTCATTTATGCTGTGTATTTACAACTTACTAGATGCTAATTTAAACTGTCATACCTGCACGATTAGTGTTGGTCCAAAGTTTTTTCACACTATATACTTCCCTGAAATCTCAAGATATTGATTTACATATCATCACCTCTGCTAACATGCGAAAACATCTGAGTTTCGAAAGAGGGTTTAACGTAACTCGATATTTGTGCTTAAGCATCTGCTAATGAATGGTGCGAATTACTAGCCACCCATTTGGCCAGTTAATGCGATGTACTTTAAATACAAAGTCGCTTTAGTTTAGCTCAGATTTTTCACCTTCAAATGTCTCCATTGACTGGCGGAACTCGTTCACACTAGATTTATGCATGTTGTGATTCAAAGAACAGTTATAAAACATTGTCTAACTTGAGAGCTACTTCCTCAGTTGAATACACATGTCAGTTATAGAATACACCATACGGAGTTTTAGAGCGTGCAGTTTTTAGTAGTAGGTGGTCTAGGTAACTAAAAGTGTGTAGTTGTAATGGTCATCGTGACATTTATTGATTATTCTAACTGCTCTCAAAAGTGTGAAACTTTATAACGAGCTTGGTTACTGACAGTCAAAATTGCGGACTCTAAAAACATTACCGTTACTGTCGATATGCTAGCTGGGATGCAAAACTATCAGGAGACTGGTGAATTAAAATCACTAGAAATGCTAAAACTAAGGTTAATTAGTAACGACTGGGTACATAATTTATATTTCTCCATTTTTTGATAAAAAGTATTGCGGACGATCTATGCAGCGTCATTTAAAGATCTGGCAGGAATGCATGCTAGTTGCTCCAAAGGTTAAGAAATTGGTTGGTTTCACTATTATCTTACCATTGACTTGTGTCTAGGATAGCTATTGTTCAGCTTTGTTTTTTAATATATTCTAAATACAAGGCAGTTTTACGAGAGTCCATTCTTTATTCACATTTCATCAACACATATTATAACCTGTTACTTATTTCCATAACTATCTGTAGTTTTGCCATAACTAACCATTCAGATTGTGGTTTAAACGCTCACCACGCTATCTAGTCTGACCTGTCTGTAAACCTTCTTTGTTGTCAATGACCTATTGATTCGAGGACGTTATTATCTTATTATATTGATGTGACGCATGCTTTTATTCATTTTCCACGCTATACTTGTCGGTATGTTTACTCGTTTCCCTTTACAGTTGTAATTTCCTTATTTACTGTACTAATTTAATCGTTATTTGTTTAGAAACAGATAAATTGTAAAACTAAGTATACTTTATTCTTACTATAGCTTTACCGTAGACTCTGTGCTCGCCAGTATTGCGTTTACTGTTCTAGAATTACATCTGTAGGACAAATTAAATCCAACATCACCTTCAGAGTTTATAATTTGACTTTTTCCGTTTATTTCTCTTTACTAAGTAATCTTTCTTCAAATTTGGCCTTACTAGCCGTCGATTCATGTTGGCTTCTCGCTAACTTCAAGCTTCATTTATCCAGAATACTGCATTTTGTCACAGGCAAATCGACTTAAGTCCCCCTAGTCTGTATGAAGTTGAGAAAGTGTTGGAAAATCTGAAGCGAGGGCGAGCTGTAGGTCCTGATGAACTGACCTCTGAGACGTTGAAGGATGGCGGTCAGGTTTTAGCAGCTAGGTTGACTGAAATCTTAGGTATAATCGGGGAACTGGACACAATCCCATCCGACTGGTCTCAATCACTGATTGTCCCAATTTATAAGAAAGGACAAAAGTCTTCTTGTGACAATCACAGGAGAATAAGTCTAACTAATATAGTGTCTAAATAGTTAGCCTCGATTGTCCTTAGACGCCTAACCAGAGTTTGTGAAGAGCAGACTCGGGAATACCAGTCTGGTTTCAGACGTGGACGTGGATGTTTACACCACATATTAACACTACGACAGGGCCACGAAGAAAGACAATTTTAGTTGCAACAATGCGGTAGTATTTCTCTAGATGTTTCATCTTGTTGTACTGAATATATAGTTGGTTCTACACCGTATCGGCTCGTTCTTCTCACGGTTTTAATTATCCTGAACGCAGCGTGCTATATACCTCCTGAAACTCTTGTCGATAGTGACGATCTGTATATGAATCCCTGTTACCAATTACTGATCTAAGTAATTTTGTGATCAGCTATGATCTTTAGAAGTATTTGAATTATAGGATGAACTAATAATCCCAGAAATAACGTAAGTGGATCAAGAACTACTAAATAAGCACGAAAGATTGTACTGTATTTAGAATTCGAAATCAAGCATTCCACAACAACAAGAAGTTACTAGTTCATTCAAACACCACATCCGCCACAGCTTAAATTGGAATCCAAGTGTCTGTAATCAATTGTATGTCTTCTTCTCAAGTTCATCCTGTGTCTGTCCGGCAGTGTATTGAATAAAGTCTCTGTATTACCTAGAATGCACTCATTAGTATTAGAATTAACAACCGAAATTCGAACCGACTCACCTAGTTCCTGGAATTGTATTTGATCAACAAGTCGATTGTGTGTACTTAAGTCATTGATATATAGAAGTCGCACCATAGATTTCCCGATATTCTTCAGAACAATCCCCGTCGATGGTCGAAGATCATTCCCACGATAATATGTAACTTCTGCAGACTTCAAGCATATAATATTCGACTGGAGAATTCTTCCTTTTAATAGCTCTGATGGAGTCTCTTTTGTCACCGAGTGTCTGGCATTTCTCTTTTGCAGTAGAAAGGTATCTACTCCCCTCTCCAGCTTATTAAATGTTGAGGCAGCAATAGAATCGATAGCAGTTTTCT